GTGGGACAAGGCATATATTGGAGTAGAGCAAGGGGAATGTCTGGGGGTCCACTAGTTGCATAGTAAAAGTCTCAGGATTGGTTGCACCTCCAGGCTGGGAGAACCTGTCCTGAGTTGATTAGATGCAGCTGCAGAAAGGTTGCTATGCCTAGAGGCCATCTCAGGGCAGTTGCCTTCTCTGCATTCCACTGCTATCAGTAAAGAACATCCAGAGCCTTCTAGCTAACTTCTGATTGGTTCCTTGCCACATGGAGGGTATCTAGCAAGGTCGGGCAAGGTTGGGGGCTCAGCACATGCTGCTGAGTCAGGGGCTTATGAGTTGCTGTGTCTTTCTGCAGCCTGTCATGGCTGCCAAAACAGTGGACTTGGGAAGGGTCTGGGCCCTTCAACTTTAGATTGTCTTCTTGGGTTTTTCACCTCAAAGCTTTGTTTCAGCTATGATGCACTCCAAAACCTGTGAACACATCTCCCAACATTAAGGTTAAAAGAAGTTAAGCTAACTGGGCTACTGGGACTCGGTTGTTTTTCTTGATCATTAACCTAAGCCACAGTCTTTACAGCTCCTCAATAGAAACTCATGTGTCCTAGCTGTGTGACACTTCCTTGTTTTATTTTTAATCATCAAAACTCTACTAACTAACACCATTATTATCAGTTAGACAGTACAGCTTAGGGAGAAATCATCTTCATAACAATCCACATGTAAAAACGCCCAGAAGAACAGAATGTTTCCATGAGATAGACCACACTACAGGCAGTGGGGGGGGGTGTCTCCCTACACCCATCCACACCATGCCAGATACCAGAGAAAGATGGCAGCAGCAAACATTTGAAGGCACAGCAGAAACAAAAGACATTGGAGTCTGTGGTCTCCGGGCCTTGCCAGTCTGAGAGTTACCCATCAGGGATTCCCTTCCTGGGGGCTGACACCATGGCCACTGGCATCTGGCACTATTAAGCTTCCTGCTGTAGTTCCCTCCCTTGAGATTCATCAGCTTGTCTCTGGCTCTGTGCAACTGCCAGGCTTTCCCCTTAGCAAACAGAAGGAAGATTTCCTAACAGATGGCATCCAAGTCACTGACCCAGCAGAGACTTGGGTACCAGGGCCCATATAGGGACCTTCTGGGACTAAAGGAAGACTGACAAAACCTGTGTCTCTGCCACTGTGACTTTGGGCCATGCCCTACAGTAGACACCAAGATGCTCCTTGTTACCCACTACCCCAACCTAGACCTCCACAACCCAACAGTGTTGATTGTAATTGGAAAACAGAACCTTCTAGACATCCAGTCTTTATGGGAAGGGCAGGAGTACTGGAAAGCCCCTCCTCCATTTCGAGCTAACATGGCAGGCTCTGCTCTGAGCTAGAGACAGAGCAAGTAGGAAGTGTATGTGCATTTGTATGCATACACATATGTGTATGGATGAATATGTATGCATGTGAATGATTGTGTGTATCATATGTGTGTATATATTATGCTTGCATTGTTATTATGTACATGCATGTGCCTGCGTAGGAGTTCAGGTGCACGTATGTAAATTCTGCATATATGCATATATCCTGAGGAGTATGCAAGTATGTAATCCACTGTGAGTGTGCCCTGTGCACAAGATGGGGTGTGTGCCTCACGTATGCTAGAGCATGTGTTGGCATGAAGCTCTGCATTCTCTGCCTATACATCATATGTGCTAATGAGACTGTCAGGGTGCAATGTACACATGAACATGGTGTGCACTGCCTTATATATATGTGTGTGTGCAAATTTGTCAGTGGCTGTCTGTGCCCACTTACTTTTATAGCTGTTTCTGCAGAATAAAGCCACTGAGACCTGCTCCTGCCCTGTGACTTAACTATGAGAAGAAATGCAGAAACCCCAGCCCTGAGAGAAGCAGCCGGGGCTTTTAGAAAACTGAGACCAGTCTGCCTAGCTCCTCACTCAGAAATGCAGACACACCAGGTGTTAGGGGAGGAAATCAGGGGGACACATTGATCTAGGAAACAGAAAGAGATCCCGAAAGCCCTGTGGGCTGAGCTCAAAGTGAAGCCTGTCTCGATGAGCAGAGCCATTATGCCTCCTCCATCAGAACACAGTGTCCGGTTCTGTGAGTGAGTCTCCGTCTGTCATCCCAAGTTCCTCCACCTTCCGACAGGAAGGGCTTTCATCATCCCACACACTCTCAGAATGGCCAAGTGGGACGATGCTATGCAAGACTGCTCTCCTCGCAGAGACCAAGCCCCCAGGAAACCTGAGAGCTCGTTTAAGGTGGGCTCGTGTGTGCAGATTCACCAGCAGGGGATACCATAGCCAAGGGCCCCAGACAAAGGCCTAAACAGCATTTATGGCTCAAAGTTCTGGAGGTGATAGTCCAAGAAGGCTCCCATCTGATGGGATTCTGAAGTAAGTCTTCTCCCAGTTGGCAGGTGTCATCTCACTGTGTCCTCATGAGGCAGGACACTGGTTCCCATTAGAAGAACCTACCTCCCCAACCTCATGCAACACAAATCTCCCAAAGAGTACCTCTCCCACATTACCACCACACAATCCAGAGCTTCATATGGACACTGAGGGGACACCTATGAAGCACTTTACCCCACCATTTGTCATGTTACATACAATCAAGCATAGGTTCACCTATATGTGTCACTAGAATGCAATGAGCTGGCAATCAGGGGAGCCAGGGAGACCAACTTGTCTGAACTATCTCTCACGGATATATTTTATAGGAAACCAGAACAGGAGCAATACTCATTCCAAAATCTTGTCCTTCTGGCTAGCTGATCACCCTTGTTTCCAGACTTTTATAAGCTGTTGCTTTTCCCCTTACTGTGCTTTCTCTTGAGGTCTAGAGGGCACAATACACATCAAGTCCCCTGAGCCAGAATGCTCATTTCATTTGCATTGCTCACCATCTGTCCCAATAAACAAACCACAGTTTGAAGATTCGATTCCTGTCTCTGCAGTAAGAGGCAGCTTAGGGTCTGGTATTGTGATTGTATATGCCCATGCATGGACTCACTTGTGGCCTGACTATGGGTGGCTATCTCTCCAGTCACTGCAGGGAGAGCCCCAGCTCTGCCACTGCCTCTGTGATATGAGTCACAAAAGGGCCATCTAAAATGCTCCTGAGGCCACAGTGGCTGTGAACTCTTCCTAGGGCCTGAGGTAGATCTAAGCGTACCAGAGTCATATGAGGTCCAGGTCAGGCTGTGGCAAACAGCATGAGGATCTGCAAGGCTGGCCCAGTGTGACTTTAGGCCAACTCTGTCCCCATCCAGCTGGCTGCTTCAAGGGAGGCTACCTTCAAGGGTAGAGGGATAGATTCTGTGAGTATACCCTGGGGGGCATGTGTAGGCATCCAGACCTACTGACTGACTCATGTTCTGGGACCTTCCATGGCTCCCTCTTCCCAACACCCCCTTTCTCCCTCTTCTCTCTCTTCCCCTCTTCCTCTCCCTCTTTCTCCTCCTCTTTCTTCCCTTTCTTCTCCCCCCTCCTGCCCCTCCCTCTCTCCCTCCTCCTTCTTTCTCCCCTCTCCTCCATCTTCCCCATCACTGACAGGGCCCAGCTGTAGAAAGATCATCTGTGGAAGACAGTCTGAGGCTCCTAGAACAGGGTGGTCTCACCCACCCTGATGGAACATCGATCTAAAGACTGTTAAGGCCAGATGTCAGGGTGTGGCCATCCTTCGCTCTGCAGTGGCCACCATCTATTGAACATTAAGGACCAAGTTGTCAGAGGAAGAGACAGAAACCCCAAGCTCAGTTCCCTATGACATTGCTGGACTTTAAGGCTTAGAGGTGTCCTCAGGACCCCACCATACTTAAGTCCTGGGTCCTTCCCAGGAAGGAATAGATCCATGCCTGATGTCAGCTGCCATTCTATCACATGTAAGCTTTAGATCCTCCCAGGAAGGTATGGAGCCACACCTGACATTGCCCGCCTTCTTCTGAGTCTGGGCTCCTGGGCTCCCATTTCCATTTATAACCCAAAAGTCATGTACAATTGCCCTGGACCCAAAACACTGGTGAACAGAACACAAACATGTAACAAATTGAAAAGCACAGAGGGCAAGTGTTTCATAAGCCTCATAGACACAGAAAACAGCGTAGATAGAATCTTGTGCCAATCAACATGGTTGGTCACATCAAAAATGACACAGATCACCCACTATTGACATTCTTGCCAAAATGTTTAAGTAAACCCAATCAGTCAGCAGAGCAAGCCTTGGAACCATCAGATCCTGTCCCAGTCCTCATGCCTGGATGGCAGGGTAGTCAGTGAGAACCAGTATGCTAAGCAACGGAGTCTGCAACGCCTCAAAGGAATATTTGAAAGGATCAAGCTGACTCCATGTGACTTAACTGTGTGTAAAAGCTACTCACAAAGTCCGCCCCATTAATACCCAGCAGCCAACACTAAAAAGGAGGGCTGGGCATCAGAATGGGGTCTCAGATCATCTCAGCTAAATGAAAGAGGCCGGACTTCTCCAAGCAGTATACCCCCGTGGGGCCTGGCGTGTCCCATTCCAACAAAGTGAAGCCACTTTTAATGGCAGAGGCAGATACAGTCTTGGAATGTAGGCAGCAAGACCTAAGGTACACCTGAGAACTTCCTGGATGGTGCAACTGGTTCTTGCTGCTGTTTTGCTCATCCTATGTGCCAATATTAGAAGGACAAAGAGGTGGCTCAGTAAATGAAGATGCTTGCTGCTAAGCCTAATGATCTGAGTCCAAACCCAAGGACCCACATCCTGAAAGGAGAGAACTGAGTCAGTGTGCCAATTTGCTCACGTGGTGGCACCATAGTTTAGAAGTGAAAACCAACAACACAAGGCTGCTCAACACCAGTCACCACCAGTGGCACCTGTGGTGGAGTCGCCTGGGTGCTGGAACTCTGCTGGTGAAAAGAAGGTCACCGGAGAAGAAGATGCTCCTGCCTGGGACTGGAGGAGTGACACCCACGTGGAGGAGAAAGCAAGTGATGCCGGATACATGGCCATCAGAAAGCTGACCCAGCGAGCAGGTGAGCCAGCCCGGGAGGCCTCCAAATGAGGAGCTCCCGCTGCTCACGCTCCTTGTAGCAGAACACAGCTAAGTGATCACAGGTTAAAGAGGAGTACTGCAACCACTGTGGAAGTCAGCATGGAAATTCCTAAAAACAGAAACCAGAGCTACCATATAGCCACTCCTAGGAACATTCCAGAAAGTTTCTACGTCAACACACCACAGCAACACATGCACATCTCTGTTTATTGCTGCACTATTCACAGTAGCTGAGATACAGGCTTAGATGCCCATCATGAGATGAAAACACACGGGAAATATGGTGCATATGCATAAATGTGGTACACACACACACACACACACACACACACACACACACACACTGGGATTTTATTCAGCCATAAACAGTGAAATGATGATATTTACTGAAAAACACATGAAACTAGAGATCATTATATTAAGCTGAATAAACCAAATAGGAAATAGAAATATACCATCTTGACCCTCATATTAGCAGTTTGGGTTTTTTGTTTTTGTTTTTGTTTGTTGTTGTTGTTGTTTTTCCTTTGATGTGTACTATCTATTGTAGGTTCCTGTGTGCACATATGCAATTGCCCTTGTGGCCACAAGATGGCGTCGGATCCCCTGAAACTGAGGTAATAGGCAGTTGTGAGCAACTTGACACGACTTCTGGGACCTGAACTTGGTTGCTCTGGAAGAGCAGCAAGTGCTCTTAGTGAGCTATCTCCCCAGCCCCAAAGTCTAGATTTAAATGTGTGCGTGTCATAAAAGTAGAAAGGAGACCATGAAAATGTAAGAAGAGATCTCAAGGTTGAAGGGGGAGAGAGTAGTGGAAGACCAGCGGGGGGGGGGGGGGGGGGGGGCGGAACGGACGGAAAACAAGAGTGAGGTGGGGAAAGGAGGAGGAATGACAATTAAGTATAATAAAATGTACAGAGCCTGGCATGGTGGCCCACACCTTTAATCCCAGCACTAGGGAGGCAAACGCAAGCAGATCTCTGTGAGTTTGAGACCAGCTTGGTCTACATGATGGATGAGCTTTGCTTTTGTTGTGGTTTTCTGACACCAGGTTTCTCTCTGTAGCCCTGGCTGTCCTGAAACTCACTCTGTAGACTCTGCCTCCTGAGTGTCGAGATTTAAAAAGTCATACACCACCATACCCAGCTATATAGTGAGTTCTAAGTCAGCCAGGACTACATAGTGGAACCTCTCTCAAAACAAAAATAAACAAAGAAAAACAAAAAAGTACATATGAGCTGGGTGGTGTTGGTGCACATCTTTAATCCCAGCACTCGGGAGGCAGAGGAAAGCAGAACCCAGGCCAACCTGGTCTACAAAAGAGTTCCAGAACAGCCGGAGCTGCTGTTACACAGAAAAACACTGTCCTGAAAAACAAAACAATAAAACAAAAAAGTACATATGAAAATAAAATCTTTTAAAATATTTTTATTAATTATTTTATTAATTATATGTATATGTAAGCAGGTTGTGCATGTGTGTGCAGTGCCCACAAAGGCCAGAAGAGGCTGTTGGATCCCCCAGAGCTGGAGTTACGGGCATTTGTGAGCCACTCATTATGGATGCTGGGAACTAAACTTGAGTTCTCTGCAATATGCACTGTTGACCACTGAGCCATCACTATAGCCCCAAAAATAAAGAAACCCATTTTAAAAGAAAGGAAGAAAATGGGAGTGTGGTGAGCCTGTAGTCTGTGCTCAGCGTGGTGAGTGCCAGTCCCAGCCTCCTACGGATCACTGCGGGGGGGGGGGGGGGGGGGCGGGACCAAAGAGAAAGCCAAGAGCACAGGCAGGGGTTTGCTGGGATGTAAAGGCAGCAATCACAGTTCGGGCTCTGTGCAGTCAGTCAGCCACTGACCTGCAATCACCAAACATCTCTGAACAAACAGCCACCACCTGGAACAGCATTCCCAGTGTCTGGAGGACTCCCAAGTCAAAGGGATGAGCAGAGGGTTGCTGGCTGTCATGGCAGGATCGTGTGTGCACAGGAATCTGTGGGCAGAAACCAAGGTGCTGAGAGACCTGTCTGCTACCTCCGTTGTGAATCCATATGAGGGTCTTGCCCTGGTTGCCCTGGACTCTAAAGAGGGTAGGGCTATGCAGCCTCCATTCTGAGTGTCGGCGGGAGTGCTCTAGGAGCCATCTCTGTCTACATGGACGCTGTACACCCAATGCTGACAGGAAGCCCACAGGTAGCGATGAGGACATTTGGGCATCTTCACAGTTGACTTTGCCAACTACGTGGCCACACACACAGAGGCATGCTCGCATGTGCGTGCACACGAGACACACACACACACTCACACACACACACACACACACCTCCAACATGGACCAGCTGTCTAGTGGGGCATAATGGGGGCAGCAGAATAAAAGCCTGAGGCCATGTAGTACCGTCTTTTGGAAGGATGGTGGCCTGATTGGTGAGCTGCAGAATATGACAGGTGTCCAGGAATTCTCGAAGACTCAGGAAGCTAGAGATGTTTTGTCTGTCTGAGTTGGGGACAGAATCACAGCAGCAAGGGTACCCATATGACATTTGGAGGGTTACATCCTAATCTTCCAAGCTCCTACTCACTGTCATTCTGTGCCTGTGCCCCATTTCCAAAGCTAGGAGATAGGGTCACTCTTCAGCTGATGGACACCTGGGAGCCTCCTCTGTCCCTGCAGTCCACTGCAGCCATCCCCTGGGCATGTCCAGGCCTGCTATGTTCTAAACACACCCCTCCTCTGCCCTTTCCACAGACCCCTCCCTGTAGCCCAGACTGGGTGCTCCTCCACTTCAAATCCACCCACCCTCCCCAAGGCTCTCCTTAATACTCCCCCATGTCCCCCTGGGTCCAGGAACCTAGCCTTAACCCTCTGTCTCCCAGAGCTCAGATCTCACAGCCTGAATCCCAGCCTCCTCGCAGGGGAACACCCTAACACTCACACATAAGGCTATCCTATACTGCACCCTCCTGGAGAGGGTCTCCAATTCACTGTGCTGCTACCACCCCCAACCCTACGCACAGCAAGCTCCACTGCCACAGCCCCTGTCAGACCACCCTTCCTCAACCATTCTCCCTCTCCATTGGCCAGCCTTTCCTTCCTGCCTTGTCTTCCCTTCACCCTCTGTGTCTCCTATCCCTAAGCCCTCCACCACCGTGGGTGGCTCTGATACCCAAAGGTGACTCTGCACACGGTACTCACTGAAGAGCAGCAGGCTCTTGTAGTTGTTGCCTGCACGCCCCAGGCGAAGGTATACCAGGCCGTATGTGTAGTCAGTGGACAGCACATGGAAACCCTTTATCCCCTTCACTGCAAGAGAAGCACTAGTGGCCACTGGCACCTGGACATCCATGTCCACCCACAGTCCAGAGCCTGGTGCCCAACACATCAGCCAGTCCAGCATGGCCTTTCCATTCAAAGGAATTCAGCCAGCTCTGGGACCACAGCCATCCTGCTAACCCATCCTGGGTCTCTAGCTGCACACTCAGTTCCCCATGGCCCAAGCATCCTACTCACAAGTATTCCTGAACACAGGTTTCTTTCTATCCTTCTTCAGTATCGTCTCCATGGACTGGCATCCCTTAGGCCTGGGGAACAGGCGTGGTGAGCTGCAGCCAGAGGGCCACCTTCTACCACCAACTTCTCCAGCTCTACTCTCCCGCCACCCCTAGAGCCTAGGAATAGGGGTTCGGAGGCCAAGGTTTGGGGTGGGAATATTCTAACTTTGGCAAAGGCATGCCTAGAGCTGAGAAGTTCACTCCTGACATCGCTCTCCTGATGCCAAGTATTTCTTCCAAAATCACCCCTTGGGTTTTAGGGGAAGACGAGGCAGTGAAACCGTCTGTCGGGTCTGTTTCCTCTCGGGACTCGGCTCTGCTTCCTGTCCTCCTTCTTCCCAGAGATAAAGCTGTCCCTGACCAGTCTGAAAAGGTGTACCATGACCCCTGCCACATCATATCCCCTCACCGGCTGAAGGCGATGACCACCTTGAGCTGGCCTGTTTTGTGCACCTTCACCACAGATGCCCCCAGCTTCCTCTTGTCTTTAGCCGGCAAGAATCCTTGGGTGTCTGTGGCGATGGCAATAATGTACCAGAAGCCTGAAAACTGCAGGGGCATTGGGGGAGAGCAGTGTTGGAGCCGCCACACCATGCATCCTGTCCAAGCTCCCAGCCAGAGGACAGACCCAGCAAGTGACGCTGCAAGTGGGCACTATCCTGTCTCAAGCTAAAGAGAAGCTGGTACTTAGCTGGTCAGGGGCCCAGGAAGCCATGTCCACCTCAGAGGCTCCTTTTCTCTTGGCCTCCCTGTGACACAGATGCTCAGCCGCTCTCCCTTCTGCTTGAGCCTGAGCCGCTAGCCACCAGCTCTCCTCTGCTGCCTGCTCCTGGCTCCTGATAACTCAGTGCTCATGCCTGCTACTCACCTAGCCACTGTGCCCACAGCCACCCCACCCCTCAAATCATCTGCCTCAGGGCACGCCTGGTGCTTGGCCTTCCACCATGCTTGTAGCGTTCTGCAGAGGTATCTCCAAGGAGTCCCAGGGCTGGGGCAATGTGGGAGAGGATAGGTAGGTAACCAACACAGCTGGGCTCAACAGATACCTTGTTCTGCCCTTCTGCTGAGGACATGACCCCAGATGGTCCCATAGCTGCAGTTGTAGCCCTAACTGGTCTACATACCCTGTAATCCTAGTATCCCATGAAGGTACCCAAGGGGCATGTGGCTTACCTTGCCCCAGTTGAGAGTGTGGGCCTCCTTAGGGAAAAACTCCTGTGTCCAGGACACCACAGCCAGGACTAGGGCTGTGGCCAGAGCCATCTCCAGCTTCATCCTTAGCAGGGGCAGCTGTTGTCCTGTCTGCCCTGCTGTGGTGTCAGACCCACCCTGGAACCTGAGGCTACTGGGATGGGTGGAGTAAGAAGTGGGGAGGTGTGGCTTGAGGCTTCTGCCCCTCCTTCTGAGGGCTTCAGCCTGGGCATTGTGGTTTACAGCAGACATTGCCTGCCTGGGAGGTCCCTAAAGATGGACACCACCAGGTTCTCAGAGGCCATGTGCATAGTGATCTTCACATCCCTCACTACTGAAGGGCTAGAACCACACACATCTGCAAACCCCTGCAGCCTGGGATGTCTCACCTAGCACTGGATGCTTGAAACTCTCATAGCCCTAGCCAAAGGTGAGACTCGGGTGTCTCTGGGACTAGAGGGAGGGAAACAGCAGCCTGTAGGCATAAACGTTGGTGCTCCCTACCCAAGGCTATTTATAGTGTCTGAGGAGCTACTGACAGGAAGGAGAGAGAGTCCCCCCATATTACTTTCCAATAGATGACATCATTCCACCATCCTGACCAGATGCCCCATTTTTAGTGAGGGCCTGCAGGCTCAGGCCTTTGGGAATTCCATACTGCCACCATCACCCCTATGCCCACCCCCAGCCAGCAACCAGCTCTTCTTTCTGAAGAGCTAGGGCCCTGGTTGCATCTCCCTGTTGGAAAGCTCACAGATACTGACCTCCCCTGCTAGTCAGTGTGAATTCTGTGTCCTTCCTGCTAGGTGGTCTGTGGATGCTAACCCCTCTACTAGGCTGTTGGCAGATGCTATCAATGTTCTCATACTGTGTAACACTCAGTGTTCCTTCCTACTAGCTAGTACAATACATAGGTGGTTGGCCCCCTGGCCATGGATTCTGGTGGTACAGTGGCTGCCTTAATAGTGTCCTGGCCTATGCACATAGCTCTTATGTAGCCTGGGCACCTCAGCTTTTGCCATTCCAGTGGCTACATCCTGTCCCCAGTGACTTCAGGCTCAAGAACTCTGACAATGGGTATTAGTGAAACAAATTCTGAGCTTGCTAGGGTTCCATGGTGTGATCTCTGGCGAGTCCTCTTCCACAACACAGGGACCATCCCGCCCCCAAAGAAGACACATTGTGGCAGATTTACTTGTGAAATCACTTTATTGTCAACCCAAGCATGAGTCTAGGAGAACAGAGAACCAACAGCAGCACCAGCCACTGAGCAAAGATACCACCTGCCCACCTCCACCAGGACACCAGGATGCTGTGCTGCCATCTCCGGAGTGTGGCGCTCACTGAAAACCAGGGCAAGAGTTGGGGTGGGGCTGGTGACAGCCATCATCCTCACCTTCAGTGACCTTCCCACCAGCAAAGCCTTGGGCTGCATGTGGGCATTGAAGAGGGTTCATCCAGAGCCCCAGGCTCTTCCTGCTCCCCAGGGAGCCAAGAGTGATGCCTGAAAAGGTGACCTACCTGGAGGATCTTGTGTGCACATGTGACTGTAAGAAGAGCCAAGGCAGTTGTGAGAACAGGGCTGCAGCAGCTCCCAGGATCCTACCCACAAGCCCCTTCCAAGGAGGCTGTCCCTACAAGCTTGACTATGACAGGCATAGGTGATCCCTTGAAGCACCCACAAACCAGTAAACATGGAAGGGATACGAATCTCCTCCACCACCCCGTCACTGTGTGTGTCGGAACTGCCTATTCTTCCCTGTGACCAGTACTAGTGACACTCACAGTCCTTCTGCAGCTGGGCCTGCTGTTGGGACTGGAAGCCCAGACCCCGGCTCCATTTGGTGAACAGCTGCATGGCCTCATGGCTAGCCATCTCTGTCCGACCTGAGCAAGAAAGGGTAGCCACTGAGATACAGTGAGAGTGTGGAGAGCTTGGCTGTGTCCCCTGACCCTTTCTTTACCTCAATCCCTCGCCAACCTCAGGGTGGCTGGGGCTTGGCCCTGTATGTTCCCTCCTAGGGGCCATAGACACAGGGACCCTGCGCAACCTTGCCTGTCCCCACTTACTGTACAACTCCACTGTGTTGAAGGCCTCGTCCCCGAACTCTAGTTGTGTGAAGATGACAGCATAGTCCTTGAAGTTAGTGCCCAGTACCCGGTAGTCCAGTACACCGAGAGCTAAAAAGTAAATGCCAGATCCAGGGGCAGTAAGGACCACCATGCCAAACTGGCATGAAACTGGGGTTGGCTGTTAAGATGGGGTCAGATTCAGGACCAGACCCTATCCAACCTCATTAGAAGTCTCAAGTTGTCCCCAGGTCCCTGACCCCTACATTTTGCAGCAAGAAGCAGTTCTCAGATGCTGGTGGACTTAGATGAATGCTTGTCCCAGCTCAGCCTGGGGTGTCTGAAGAGCAAGAGGGTCACCTTCTCCCAGCCCTATCCTATGGGGATAGACCACTACTAACCAGGCACCAAGCCCTCTGTACCCACAAAGGAGTCCAGGGATTGAGACTAGGACCCTCACAGGCATCTGGGCACATACGGGTGGGGATATGAGGTCTAAGGCCTCTGTTCAGGGGCCTCTCTCCCCTGAGGATTGACCCTAGGATCCTGTCTGTTGGATCCTTTAACTGCCCACAGAGCTGTGCCAGGGGCTCTGGAGCAGAGTGGTCTCCTTCCAGCCAGGCCTGCCCTGCCAACTGCAACCTGGGAACACACAGGGGCTGGTTGTCATGGGGATCAGATGCGGCCCCTTTGGCATCATACTCACAGGGGTTCTCAAACACCCATCGGGACTCTCGTTTCAGCAGCTCCACAGTACTCTCACGACACCCATCTGGCCTAGGAATCAGTGGGAGCAAGGCCTCTGAGACTCACGTGGCCCACCAGTGGGGGAGGCCTCAAAGGAGTTCATCTCTTCCACGATGCCAGGATTACCTAGAGAAACCCATCCTGGGACCCGGGAAGCATTAGCCACTCCCTTCATTTCCCAAGGGATCCACATGGCCGGTGCTGAGGTCTCAAGAGATATCCGCCTGTGGTTCACGGGAGAAGATAGGATGGAGAATCCCCGAGGTGTGAGCCTCTGAGGTGAGAAATGAAAGAGAAGCCAGCAGGACCTGCTAGACAAAACAAGTGCTGCAAAGATGTCTGGGGTCAAGACACCTGCAGTGAGAGATGCACAAAAGCCGGTCCAGCACACAAGGAGGCACACCTTACACCCACCACAATAAAACAGATCAAAGGAACAGAACAGAAAGTTAAAAACAAAAGAAAATTTACCCCGGATACATACCTATGACAAAGGTCACAAACTAGGTCATAATTCATCAATGTGGGGCTGCATGGCTACCTCAGTGTACCTCACATTTTATTCCATGCAAAATTCTAGAACTTCCACAGACAGGAAAGGAGTCCCCCCCCCTCCCCCCGCCATGTCATGGTACCCAGAGCCCACAGAAGCAAAGGCTCCTGTTACAGTGCAGAACTAAAAAAGTACTGCATAGGGGAAGAGAGCTCCTCTTGGGCCTGGAGAAATGGCCCAGCAGTTAAGAGCACTTGCTGGTCTTGCAGAGGACCCAGTTTTGGTTCCCAGTTCTCACAGGGTAGCTCACAACCACTCGTAACTCCAATGCCTGGGATCCGATGCTCTTTTCTGAGCCTTGTGGGCATCAGGCATGCATGTGGTACACAAACATGCATGCAGGCAAAATATTCACATACATAAATGTTTAAAAAATCTCCCCAACATCAGAAAAACAAGCTGGGAAGTACATCTGTAGCTAGTTTGGTTTTTTGTTTTGTTTGGTGTTTTCGTTTTTTAGTGTTTTGTTTTGGTTTGATTTTTGAGACAGGGTTTCTCATTGTAGCCCTGGCCATCCTGGAACTCACTCTGTGGACCAGGCTGGCCACAGACTCAGAGATCTGCCTGCCTCTTCCATCCAAGTGCTGGGATTAAAGATATGCACCACCACTGCCTGGTATAACAAGTTTTTAATCAAAGACTAATTCCTAAAATTCTCCTTTCTCAGAAATCAGTAAGAAACATGCTAGAGGAAAATATGCAGAATACTTAAAGAGAGCTTCCTAGGAGGGAAATGTAGCAGATATACACATTTGTGACTCTCAGTATCAGAGACACTAGTCCAATGTGGTTAAACACCTACACCTTCAATCCCAGCCCTGGGAGGTAGAGGCAGGGGATCAGGAGTTCAAGGCCTTGTCTACAGCACCGGCTTTATGAGAGGAACAGAGGTCAGGGTATTGTGAGTAGCCATAGGGGGACAGCAGATGACAAAGAACTGCCTGTTAGACACAGACATCTGCCAGCATGTTACTTCTTGGATAAACCCTCTTTTCTAAGGAGCCAACTTACCAAGGCTCACTGCCTACACATTTCGAGTGCAAAAGATGGAAGCCACCAAAGTATCTGTGGATAATGCAACACACAGACCATCCACATAGTGGGATGTCACCAAACCAAAGGCAGAAAGGGTAGACTTGGAGGATGTGGGCTAAGAGAAACCCAATCACAACAGGATGGACTCTATAGAGACATTTCTCTAGGGTCTCCAGTCCTTGGATGGGGAGACAGGAAACACAAAGGGGGCATCGTTGGCTGGGATAGGGATAGGGATCCAGTGCCACTTAATCTGGAATGCCCTCAGAAGTCATGTGCAGAAAGCTTTGATGTCTCTGTCCATAGCAGAGGGAAGAGGTAGAGCCTGGTGGGAGGGAGTTTGGCCACTGGAGATGTGTCATTCAAATGGATGGTAACGTGACTCTCCTCTTCTTTCTCCTCCTCCTCCTTCACTTCCTTCTTTTTCCTTCTCTCTCTCCTTCCTAGTACCATGAAGTAAGCTGCCTTTTCCATCATAATGATCTGAGCTACCATAGTCTCAAGACAGCAGGGTCAGTGGGTAAATAAGGACTGAAATCTTTGGACTCATGGACCTAAGCAAACCTTCCATTCTCATACTTTTGCCATAGTGATGGAAAGCTGTCACATAGGGACAAAAATCTCAGTTTAGGAAGGTGGAGCTGCGTGATAGGTGGGAATAATTGCTATTACACAGGGTGACAAAGTACTCTGCAAAGTGGCAATCGATGTAAAAGGCCTGGCTGGCATAAAGTGGATGAATGAGAGCAGAGACCAGTAGGGAAAGGAAGAAAGCACAACAGACTCAGGGATCCTGCCACTCTGGAAGCTCAGGGAAAGGAGGAGACTAACCTGGGAGCACAGGGGAGTGGGGAGCACGGAGAGCCAACCATGCCTCCAGGAGCAAGTCTGAAGAGTCCAGGCCTCTACCTGAACCAGGTAGACAGAGCCCACAGCCCCTCTGCTGAAGGTGCTCCTGCTAAGGAAGCTAAAACAGAATCACGTAGCTCGGGGGTTGCCTACTCACCCATGCCGAGAGGACTGAACTCTCAGCTTGTTATCTGGAGTAAGGGTCACCATGACACCTTCCACATTCTTCAAGTCCTTCTCCACCATGAAGTTCTTTGCACGGGAGGCCATTGCCAGGATGTACCAGGGCCCAAGGAGCTAGAGGAAGTATCGGCTGAGATACCTGGCTCCCCTCCCTCAAAGCAGTCAAAGAACCCCAACCCCTGTGCAGTCTAACTCCCTCCATCCATGCTTGTCCACATTGACTCTTGGGGATCCACAGGCTGTGAGCCTCAAAGGTGGGTCCTGGCTCTAGGACCTGCAGCCCAAGAGGGCTGTTACCTGCTTAGGATCCAGCCTTCCCAGCCACACGGCCTGGACCCAGGACATAGAGACCAAAGCAAGGAGAGCAGGAGTCAGCAGCATCACCTTCATCCTTCCAGAGGCCCAGGAACACCACGCAGTAGGCCAGGATGTGCCATCTCCCACCAGGAAACAGTTTATATGACTCTAAGTGCCTCAGTGTGGGTGGCCACTAACTGCCAGAATGTCTTCCTGACTTCTTTCACACACAAAGCAAAATTACTCAGGGTCGGGAGGATGTTGTTAAACTGTGGTGACCTTGGTGTCTAGCTCAGACCTGTGGCAGAGGCGAGAGAGGCCCAGGAGCCTGTACTAATCTCCAGAATGTTCCAGAGGAAGCCTCCTAAAGCTGGCCACCCTGCTGTCTCCCCTCCCCAGGATCAGTCTGCTCTTCAGGTGCAGGCCAAGCAGGCCCAAGCTGAGGTCAAGTCCCAGTCCCAGCTGGTCTGCCCAGAAATTGCAGTTTCAGACATCCTTTGTCTCGATCATTAAAAATGCAAAAAGCCACTGAGAAGACTTCCTTTTTAGCTTCCATTCCCACCCTCACTGGCCCACACAACCTTCTGCTTTGCTGGTCCATAGCCTCCCACTGGCCCCAACAGTCAGCCCTGCAGCCAAGCTGCCCTCTTGCCTCTGTCTCCCTATCTGGACCTATCCATTCTCCATCCATCTCCAGCTGGGCCACATCTACTGAGGCCAAATCATGACCAACTTCAGCCAGACCCTAAGGTCCCCTCAAATGCTGTCTGTATCATGGTCCCCAAGACTCCCCTGATAGCTGTCTTCAGCCTGAGCTATCCACCACCAAGTCATTGGAGCTGCTATCAAGAGCAGAATCTCTGGGTGGGGTTTATCTGGACCACCATACTCTCGGGGTGGTGGGGGTGGGGGTGATAGGTGGATCCTCCTGCCTCCAGCCAAGACTGTAGCCACACACTCCATGAGATTGGCTCATCTATGCCTACCACTCATCATCAAAGATGTGCTGAGAACTTCTGCAGAACAAGGCTGCAGGTACCCAGGACCCACCACAGAACAGACTGAAGCTTGCATTTCACCCCCATATACCCATGCCCCTCATCATTCCTATCCTCACTCCAAACCAGACTTCAGAAGCCACAGATGCAATGTGTCCACAGTTTGAGTCTCCACAGAAAATGTATCTAAAAGAGCTCCTTGCAGCTCCTGCTGTGGGGAGGTAAAGGTACACAAACAAGACAAACAAAAATGTCAGCTAAGTGTTCTTCCATCCTGAGTTGGCCCAGAGTCAGACCTTGAACCTGGATTAGGATGGTTCCTGGCTGCTGACCTCCCAGACACCTGACAGAAGAAAGTAAGATTTCTCTTAGGAAGACAATTGCTCCAAAACTCCCATCCTAATCTTCAGACCAATGCTGTCATTTAAACCTATTTTCCAGCCAAAACACACAGGCTTAAGATAACAGAATAAGAAACAGCAGGGGAAAAACAGATAAGAAGAACAGACTCATGACTATGCCTAGATCTTCCAAGGCAGACTGGAACGAGCTCTGGGGACAGTGCTCACGGGCAAAGCCGCCTTTGGAAGTTCTCAGAGGCAACCTGAAATCATGAAAAGTGGTATAAGAAAGGAACATCCATGAGAGTCAGGTTAAGATGGGCTACTCTGTCTGAATTTCTCCACCACTTAGAAAAGTTATCGAAGACTGGGAGACCACCTCTCGGGTCTGCACCCAGAGTGCTAGAAAGAATGCCTTCAGAGAAGCAGGACTTAGAAAAAAATCTTCTATCTGAGGGCCAGACTTTTCCTTTTTGCCAGATTTATTATTTATTACGTACAATGTGTTCCATTTACATGCATGCCTGCACACCTGAAAAGGGCACCAGATCTCATTACAGATGGTTGTGAGCCACCATGTGGTGCAGGGAGTTGAACTCAGGACCTCTGGAAGAACAGCCAGTGCTCTTAACTTCTGAGCCGTCTCTCCAGCCCGGTAGACTGGACTTTTCTATCTGAGGGTAAACACACGCTTCCAGATGGTCACCTCTTTCACTTCACCTTGAATAATCTCTCTTTCTTGACAATCTCTTTGTATACAGTTACATATCTCTCCTTACATACAAACATCTACCTTCTTCTACACAGCCATACATCTCTACACACAGTTCCATCTATTTTCACACACTTACCTTTTCCACACACTCTCCACACAGTTACACGCCTTCACACTTCTTTACACTGCCAAATCTCTTCAGACAGTTCCTTCTCCAGACAGCCATATATTTCTTCTGCCACATACATCGCTCCTACACACACATCTCTCTTCTACACACCTACATCGTCTATCTCTCTACCCATTCCGCGACATCTCTCCACACTTTTCTCACGCTTCTTAGGACTCTCACTTCTCTCTCTACACATGCACATTCAGCTACATCTCCCTTTCAGCACAACCCCCCCCCCACACACACACTTCTCTCACATCTCTCCTTTTATAGCCTCTGAACAAATACAAATCACATTTTCAGGTTCACGCAGCACTTCTTGAGTAAACAATAAGAAACAGAGCTTACTGATCACAGTTTTTCTCAGGCTAGGGAGGTCATGCTGACCTGCCGACGAGTAACACTTGGCCATGCAATCAGCTCTAAGTGGTCAGAGTTCCCAGACAGAAACTAACATTGAAATTCAGGGCTTAAACAATAAACAGCTAGTTGGCTGAACCTTGACGTAGGAGTACTGCAGAAAGTCCATTACTGCAGGGGGTTATGTCTACAAAGTTGCTTCATGTCTGACCTTGAATCAGCAACAAACCCCTGGGAAATTGTTCTTGCGTACACAACTCCAGGGGCAACTAGTTTGCTTTTAATTTGTTCTGAAGTCTAAAATTAGCTGTGTTAGTGACTGAGAATACGATTACTTTCCTATGTCAGTCTGAGTAATGAAAAATATCCCAGTATTATTTCTACTCATCAGAATTATACAGTTAAGTGGAAAACATCTTCCTGACTATCCACAGCTATATGTGAGCCCAGTAGATGGAATATTTTCACTCGATAAACACATAAGCAGTGGGGGAAATGCCCACAGCTGTTATTAGGGGAAGGATGCATACACGTGAGAAAAATTATAGACAGAAGCAACCAGTCACTTAGGGTCAGTGACTTCATGGTCTTTGCCAAGTGGGACTCCCCATCAGAGAGTTATTCATCTGGTAGGTCTACCTGTTAAATACTAGTTGTCACCTGCTGTATATTCCCATGGCCTCTGGCAAAAAGTTATGCCCCTAAAGAAGAAAACTACAACTATGCTAGCCATGGAATATAGTCAGGCAGTGGTGATGAACTCCTTTAATCCTAGCACTCAGGAGACAGAGGCAGGGGGATCTTTGAGTTCAAGGCCAGCCTGGTCTACAGAGTGAGTTCCAGGACAGCAAGGCTACACAGAGAAATTCTGTCTGAAAGAAAGAAAGAAAGGAAGGAAGGAAGGGAGGGAGGGAGGGAGGGAGGGAGGGAGGGAGGGAGAAAGAAAGAAAGGAAGAACGAAAGGAAGATGAAAATATATTACTACAATTGCATTATCAAAAAAATTTAAAAATTTAACCACAGAAATTTCTCCCAGGAGTTGGAGAGATGGCTCAACCTGCTGTTCTTTCAGAGGACCAGAGCTCAATTCTCAGTACCCTGTTTTGGTTTCTGAGGACACCTGCACACCTAACACACACACACACACACACACACACACACTAAAATTGTCAAAATAAAAAGAAACCTCTTTCAGGGCCCTAGGGCTTCACTGGGGGTCCTGTAGGGACCCAACCTTGTGCGGAGGAGGAAAGATCCAAGGCTGAGTTAAAATAACCCCACGAAAGAACCTGAAAGAACAGGCACCCACTGCAGGGAGAGCACATGACTTACTGGATGCTCCAGAAAGGCGAGGCCGGCTCAGTTGGGAGCCCCAGGGGTATGTGTGTCCTAAAACACCACAGAGATCTGAGCTGGGTCCACTATCTCCACTATACCCTCAGTTCTGCAAGATGGTGTGAGGAGGTGGCCAGGTTAGGTGAAGTTATGAGACTAGAGCCCTACATAGGGTTAATAAGAAGAAATATGAAGTATCTGTCTGTCTTATTATGTTTGTATTTGACTTTTTGTATGTATGTCTGCTGCTCTCTCTGTCTCTCTGTCTGTCTCTCTGTCTGTGGCATCAAGGGTTGACTACCAGACAACTACCAGTAAAGAAGCTGAGCACAGAAATGGACACAGATCAGTTATGACTGTTATGACCCACCTGAACTGCCTGCCAACCAGGCCCATGCAATGAATACAAGTTGGCCTATAAAGATATCTTTATCTCTACTTAGCTACTATAAGAAGCAGTTAAATAAGAATTAAAATATTTCAGCTAATAGAAATGGTCCCGCCAAGAAAGTAAAAAAAAAAAAAAAAAAAAAAAAAAAAAAAAAAAAAAAAAAAAAGAAAAAGAAAAAGGAAACTGTAACAACACTCTAAGCACAGAGGGACAAAGGACAGGGAATAAGAGACAAAGACAAGAGACAGAAGAGGGGAAAGGGGCAAGTGATAAAGGGAAGAGGTATTTGTCCCAGAGTGACAAAGGACTGCCTCTGGATAGAGAGGAGACAGAAGCGGCCCATAGGCAAATGGCAGTTTAGAAAGGAAAAAGATGAAATCCCATTTTAGGATGAGTGTTTAATTTTGATTGGATAGATTAATTAGGTGAGCCAAAAGGGGGCTTTTAATTGCTGGACTTGATACTTTGATAGCTGGACCTTAGTAGTCAACATCAGGAGGACAGATTGACCAAACTGGGGAATAGATCTTGGTGACTAGCTTTAGAAATGTAATCTAGTTGGGCAAAAGGCAGAGGCAAGTGGCTCTATGTGAGTTCGAGGCCAGCTTGGTTTACAAAGCTAAACAGAGAAACCCTGTCTCAAAAGCAAAAAACAAAAAAGGAGGAGGAGAAGGAAGGAAAAAGGAAGGAAGAAAGGAAGGAAGGAAGGAAGGAAGGAAGGAAGGAAGGAAGGAAGGAAATCTAAGTTTCAGCAAGACAGAGGGAATGGGGATGGGCAAAGCCTGCCAGAGCCATGTTTACTGTGCTCAGACCAGGTATTGTCCCAGTTGGTTTTTGACAACATGACACAAACCTAAATATATTTACGAAGAGAGAATCTTATTGAGAAAATGTCTCCATCTAGATCTCCAGTGGGCAAATCTGTAGAACATTTTCTTAATTAATGGTTGATGTAAGGGGGCCCAGTTCACTGTGGACCTGGGTTGTATAAAAAAAGCAAGCTGAACAAGCTATGGAGGCAAGCAGTATTCCTCTGCTGCAGTTCCTGCTCCCACTTCCCTCAGGCACAGTGTGTGACGGAGAGTTACAGACTGAAATAAACCCTTTCTCCCGAAGCTGTTCTGGTCCGGTCATGGTGTTTTACCACAGCAATAGACA